CATTCCATTAGTAAAATCCATTCCAGTAGTGAAAGCTTATCAGAAAATATCAACCAAGAAATGGCACAAGTCTACTGAGGATTCAGATGCTTTGGGAATGAATACTTGGGTCATACTCCTCGATGAAGAACTCCGACCAGCCAAGGTCCTGGCTGAGGAGCAATAAAGCAGGAGGCAGGTAGTGAAAGAAGGTCATAAAAATCACACTTGAAAGTTGCTAAGAGAGTACATCTTAAATGTTCTCATCACAACAACAAAAAATGGTAATTATGTTAAGGATATGTCAATTAACTTTATTGTGATAATCATTTTACAATATATACAAGTTTCAAACCATCACATTGAACACCTTATACCATGTTATATGTCAATTATATCTCAATGAAGCTGGGGAGAAAATTATGTCATTAACAAAATACTAGCAAACACAATTCAAGAACATATAAAAAGAATTATACCATGACCAAGAAGGATTTATTCCTGGAATGCAAGGATGGTTCAACATATGAAAATCAATTGATGTAATACACTGAATCAACAGAATGAAGATTAAAAAGCCACATGATAATCTCAATTGATGCAGAAAAAGATTTGACAAAATTCATTACCCTTTCATGATAAAACACTAGAAAAAAAATAGGAATAGAAGGAAACTACCTCAACATAATAAAAGCCATATATAAAAAAACCCACAGTAAACTTCAAACTCAATGGTGAAAGACTGACAGCTTTTCATCTATGACCCAGAACAAAGCAAGGATGCCCACTTTCACGACTTCCCAACGGGATACAGAAGCTCTAGCCAGAAAAATCAGGCAAGCAACACAAATAAAGGGCATACAAAATAGAAAGAGAGCAGCAAAATTATCTGTTCACAGGTAGTATGATTTTATATGTAGAAAACCCTAAAGGTTACACACACACACACACACAATTAGAAAGTAATAAATTCAGCAAAGTCGCAGGATGCAGAATCAACACACAAAAATAAGTTGCATTTCTATACCCTTAAATGAATAATCCAAAAAGGAAATTAAGAAAACAATTCCATTTCCAATAACATCAAAAAGAATAAAATACTAGAAATAAAATTAACTAAGGAGGTGAGAGGCTTGTACAATGGAGACTATAAAACACTGCTGAAAAAAATTAAAGAAGACGCGAATAAATGGAAAAACATCCCATATCCATGGATTGGAAGATTTAATATTTGGTAATGTTTAGACTATCCAAAGTAATCTATAGATTCAATGCAATCCCTATCTGAACCCCAGCGGATTTTTTTTTGCAGAACTAAAAAACCCACTCTAAAATTCATGTGGAATCTCAAGGAATCCCAAATGGCCAAAGAGATCTTGAAAAAGAACAACAAAACTGGAAGATGTGTTTCCTGATTTCAAACCGACTACAAGTCTTTAATAACCAAAACAGTGTGGTTCTGACATAAAGACAAAGGCCAGTGGAATAGAATAGATTCTTTTCATAGTCAAAACCTCCACAGCTTCGAATTTGGCATTGATTTCTTGGATATGATGCCAAAGGCACAGATAACAAGAAAAAAACAACATTTGGACTTCATGAAAACTTTAAATTTTTCTGTATGAAAGACATTATCAACAGACTAAAAAGGCAACCATAGAATAGGAAACAATATTACAATTATATATCTGACAAGAGATTAATATCCAGAACATACACAGAAGTCCCCAAATTTAATAACAAAAACCCCACAAAATCAGATTCAAAAATGGGCAAAGATATCAAAACGATGCATTTAAAAGCAATATCTACCAAATGTTGAAACAGGTAATTCCAATCTTACATAAAATTTACCAGACGATATAAAAAGAGGGAATACTGCCCTATCAGATTTTTTTTGTTAGCCTAATATTGATACCAAATGCAAATAATGGCAGTTTAAGAAAATAAAATTATAGGCAAGTCTCATTCGTGAACATAGATGCAAAAATATAAAACAGATCTTGGCAAAATCAATTGGCCAAATGTATAAAAGTTTACATCAAATAACAGCCAATTTGTATTTATCTCAAGAACACAAGGTTGGTTTAATGTTATAAAATGCATTAATCTTCCATGTTTGATCAGTTTAAAGTTCCCAGTCTTGCACCTAAGTCAAGTCTAGGTGAGGATGCGGCTCCTCCAGTGCAGTTCCCTAAGCATACAGCTCCTCAATACAGTTTCTCTCTGTCTGTAGATGCATGAAACTAACAGAGGTTATTTGCCTCTCCTCTGCCACTCCCTTCCCCCCAAACTCAGTGCTGAAACTGGCACCGGGTAATTGCTCTAGACATTCTTGTTCAAAATGCGGGGCAACTGGAAACACAAAGGAGTCACTGGTCTATTGCATTTCTGAAACCCAGCCAAGAAATTCTCTGATCAGATTTTAAACTTGGAAATAATCCTCCATTGCTTCGGGCTTTGTCCTCTGAGCTCTGCAGTCTGGTCTCTCTGTCATTTTTTTCTTTTCTTTTTTTAAATGAAAGCACATGTTTGTAACCAAGTAGTTTTCTCAGCCTGCTTCCTTCTGGTAAAATTGGGGGTGGAGAAAGTGTTGTCCAAAGTCTCTTTTCATTTTAAACTGGCTTTGTCTTTGTAGTTCAAGCTGGTAGTGTTTTTGCTTTCAAAACTAATTCTTTCAAATAAAACATAATAATTCTTTCAAAAACTGTGGATCTCCTGCATCTGGGGCTTGACCGCTAAGAGAAACGATACACCCACAGGGTATCTTCAAGATGAGCCCTGCTCTACCGGGGCTCCCACAGAGATGGCTGAGGGGTGTCTAGGCTTTCCCTGGAATAAGGGTGGAGAGAAGGAGAGGGTGAACAAAATGGAAATGAGTGTTTTGGTAATGTAATCTTGAAAGTGACACCCCATCACTTCGCCATGTTATATTCCTTAGGAAAGAGTCACTAGGTCCTGCCCATTCTCGAGGGGAGTCACACTAGGGCATAAATACCAGGGGAATGGGGCTCCCTGGGGGCATCTCAGAGGCTGCCCATCACAGAGATATAGTAGGAACCACAAACCAAGAACCATGAAGAAATGGATGGATTCCACATGCAAAATCTGCCAAAAAGAGCAGGCATTTCATGCAAAAAATCAAATATCATTTCAAACCATCCCCCAATAAGTCTTCAGTATCACCAGCAATCTGAATGATACAAAGGGAAGCCACAACGTGTTGGCAAGAAAAAAATCCACCCACACCCTGAGTTGCTGATCATTTGGAACATCATCAGAAGCACTCGGCCTGCTTGTGGTTTTGTGGATGTTTTGGCCACTTTGAAACCAGTCTCACATTCCTGTGTTCTGCTGAGTACACACCTAGCCCACTGCCCAGGCTCAAACTGCAAGAAGACTTGAGATTTTACCACCACTTGCAAGCTAAGAGTCCGCCTGCCCTGCTTTCATGGGTCCCTCACCAGGCACGGTGCTTCCAGGTACCACAACCCCCAGACAAGTGGTCCTATTCGCTTGCAATTTCACTGGAGTGCTATTTAGGCCTCACTTGATTCCAGAGGGACTCAGGCAACTTGTGTGTAACACACCTAAGTTAGAAATTAGAAATGTTGGAAGAGAAAGAAAATTTGTGCATAAGTCTTTAATTTCAAGTATATTTGTGTGTGTGTGTGTGTGTGCGCATACACAATGTAGAAACTGCTTCAAACATTTTCCTGGGCTCACAGTTGCTGCCCATGTGGGTCTGATCACTTATCATGTGTACCAGTCAGCCAGGAGCACCCCTGAGTTCTAAGCCGAAATTTGGGTCTCAGTGGGAGTGTCTGAGGCGGGCCTAGGAATCTAAAGGAAGAAATGGCTATTTCTGAATTTCTTTGTAAGTTGAGCCTGGTATCCAGAGGAACTGGGATCAAGGACATAAAACCTCCCAAGAGACTTCAGCAGAGGTGGTGGAGTCAGAAAGGCAGAGCGTCCCAGCGGGGCTGGTGGGACCAGGGATGTTCCCCCAGCTAGTAGTTTTGAGCCCAAGCTCTCAGGGCTACGATCGCCCAACACAGCCCTGGAACAGTCTGGCTTTTGGCCTCTGCTCCAGGAGGAGGAAGCAGGGGCTTCAGACAAAGAAGGCTGAGGCCAGGAAGGTGCTGTCCCCCCATCCCATGTCTCCTTCCTCTCCACCCTGGGTTTGAAATTCCCCTTAAAAGAAATGATGGTCCTGGAGGGGGTTGTGAGGAGACACTGCCAGCGTGATCCCAGAATACAGAGTCGGAGGAGGGGAGTGAGTAAGCTGGGATTCAAGGCTTCAGAAGTTAAGTGCCCCTACCCACCCACTCCCAGGTCCTCAGATAGGAAGAGACACAGCCAGGCTGTCCCAGCCAACCCACTTCTCTGGCCAGTTGGCTGTCAGTCACTGTTACGTTTTAAAATATAGATATTTTTACTGTTAAGATAAAATCCATCCTTCTATTCTAATATCATATACAATATAAACTGCCAGAGCCTTGTATAACCACCACTTTCTAGATAACTTTCCTTTAACAAAATTAATTATTTCAGATCACAGGCACAGTACTGAGCTTTCTTGTTTTTTTCCGAAGGATGTTTAAATGGTGCAGTTAGGTTCCTAGATTTGAAAAACTTGTAGTGGATGAGGTAAAATCATTAATTTGTGCGAATAAGCCCAGTCAGCTCATACAAAGACAAAATTTCTAAGTTATAAAACAATCAAATTTTTTAACCAGTCTCTTGTATCACTATGTGAAAACCATATGGAAAGATTCTTACATTTTGCTTCTATTTCAGTACCAGCAGTGATTTAACTACGCCGGTATCAGAGGAAATTTCCCCCTCTGGCGAACAAGACTCCGTGCTGAGAGCACTTTGCAAACCCACACGGAGATGGGGCGCCGTGACCCTCTCCTTGCGAACTTGTGTGCTGCAAACTGACAGAAAGCTAAGAGACCGTGTATGGAAACTTTAGGAATAGTAGCTTTAAGTATTAGAAAGACACATATTAAAAACTATAAACTTATAAAGCCATTTTATTTTCACCCAATTTCCAGATAGAGAAATCGACTAGATGTCCATTACAAAACAAGGCAGGACAAACTATCTTGATGTGAGTATACAGTTGGTTTTTCCCCTCCCAGAGTATACAATATCCCTTTCAAACCAAGGCTATGTATGTCATAACTATATTTAGAAATACAGAGAGAGGAAAATACTACTGCTGTAATTCAAGGCTGTGAAAAACGCATGAAAACCTCCTGCGATCGAAAGCTTAAACTCTAGTTCACGTTCGTCAATCAATTTCAAATGTGGGATGACATTGGAGGTATTAATTATAAGAAAAAGTCCAGTAACAAATTCCATTTGAAGAGAAGGGTAGTACTCTCTCTATACAGGGCAGAACAAATCGATTTTTGGTTTCTTCTTATATCACTTGTCAGAGGTAAACAGTCGCAAAGTTCAAGAAATATTTGGGAAGATCTGCGGAGAGTCTGAAGCCCTGGTTTGAGTTATTATACAGAAGTAACTGCTGTGTCCGGCTGGATAATTTTCTTTAAAAAGTAGGGACACTGAGCTCCAGGAAGCACGAAAAGCGGTGACCGTACGTACTACAAACCAGCCGCTGCGGATCAGCCGATGAACCTTTCCGAAGGCCACGTGTCCTGGGCGTTCGTGGGGGCGGCCGGGGCCTGTACCTCGGGCGGGGCCAGGGCCTCCATCTCGCGCACCACCTGCGTGAACACCTGGTCCACCATCCGTTTGCTCTTGGCCGTGACCTCCAGGAACGGGCAGCGCCACTCGCGGGCCAGCGCGCGGCCGCGCGCCGTGAGCACCTGGCGCTCGGCGTCCAGGTCGGCCTTGGTGCCCACCAGCACGAGCGGCACGGCCCTGGGCCCCCGCAGCCGGCCCATGCGCTCCCGCAGCGGCCGCACCGCCTCGAACGAGGCCTCGCTGCACACGCTGTACAGCACCACGAAGCCGTCGCTGTTCTTGATGTAGAGGTCCTTGAGGGTGACCAGGTGCTCGGCGCCCACCGTGTCCACGATCTCCAGCAGCGCGGGCGCCGCGTTCACCTCGATCACCTTGCTGAAGAGCTCCTCCACCGACGGCTCGCACTGCTCGGGGAAGCTCCCGCAGGCGAACTGCGTGGCCAGCGCCGTCTTGCCCACCGCCACGCTCCCGAGCAGCACCACCCGATAGCCCTTGGCGGGTCGCGGGACCGCGCCAGCCATGGCCGAGAGCTGCAGGCGGGGACCAGCGGCCGGAGCACAGCGGGGAATGGCGCGCGGGGGCGGGGCGAGGAGCGAAGGAGGGGTGGGGGAGGGGAGGGAGGAGGGGCGAGGCGGGGAGGGGACGGGAGGGGAGGGCCGCGCGCCAGGCTGCCGTGGGCGTCCAGGGTCGCGTGGCTCAGCGGTCACCCGCCCCGCCGCCGAGACTGGGGTCCCGGGAACCCGGCCCGCCCCGCCCCGGCCCCGCTCTGGCGCTGGCCTGACCCACGGACTCCGCGCCCGAGGCCTCCCCACTCCCGGGACCGCGCTCACGGTCCGTCCCGGGGTGCCCGGCCTGCTCGGCCTCGGTCCCATATCCACTGGAAGACCAGCTGGGCCCCTCCGCCCAGGGAACAGTCCCCGCCCCCCGCTCCCCCTTTGCAAGAAGAGCCCCTTTTCTGTCTGCGAGACCAGAAGGTAATCTGATCCCATCCACGTCAACCGGGAAATGGAGGAATTTCTCCACTATTTCGGATCCAGCCTGGTGGCCTGAAGCCAGCCTGGCCTCACTCAAGGTCAGACCCGGCTGGGCTGCGCAGCTGGGGCCCCGCTCTAGGCAGGGAGGACCCCAGGGAAGGGGAACCTGTGAGGGAGCCCCAGACTGGGGGTCCCAAGTGACTCAAGGCCCCCGTTCTGTGCCTGGGGCCCCTCATGCCCCCGCCTTCACTCTGGCTCCATCTTGTCGCTGAGCAGAGCGACATTATAGAATGTAAGTCACATTTTCCTTTCCCACGTAAACCCGCCCTGGCTTTCCTGTCTCCTCCAGACCACATAACTCACCATCCAGACTTGGCCACTTGGACCTCGAGGTGTGCGCCCACCCATTCCCCTGCAGTGGCGGAGCCGTAAAGTTCCTGTCAGCAGGCTGCGGAGTCACTTCTCAAGAGGGTCCTCCAGGTCTGAGTGCCCTGCGGCCTCTCAGGCGTCTACTGCCAGCTGCACAGCCTTCTTGGCTATTCCTTGATTTCCGAGGAGAAAGCCGGGGCGGTGGGACAGTGGGGGCTGGGCACAAAGTCCTGGGATCGTCCACCCGATTGAGCTCTGCCCCCTGTGCCCTAGGACTTCAGGGAACCCGCATGCCTAGCTGGAAGCGGGCATAGCCGCATTTTCTCCCAGTGTTCCCGGTGCCAGTGAACTCCCTCGTTCTGCTGCAGCCCTGGAGGGGGCAGGGCCCCAAGACTGACGGGCTTGAATTCCCTGCCTCCCTGGAAGGCCAGGCTCAGGGACGAAGTGAAGCAGCAACAGGACGCGCCTCGCGCCTCTGTGTTTGTGGCGGCCGCAGAGCGCGCTTTCCGTAAACAGCACAGAGAGATCCTTAACGTGCACAACGAACTGCGCGTTGAACACAACAACTCTATTTCTAAGTAGAGAAATCACGTGAGACTTTCTCTGACTGCAAAGTAACAAAACTGACCGTGAATTTTAAAAATGGATGACTGCAAATACGCTCTGGAGAAAAGCAAGTTCAATCTAGGTTCCAGCAACTTCCCAGTGGTAACTTGTGAGGGAGGACAGGCACCTCGCTGCCAAAAAAGCCCCAGAACACCCGAGGAAAAGCCACTCCGAGCCGCTGTAAACACCAGGGAACAAAAACACACCCAGAAAATGGTAGATACTGGCATTTGCAAACATAAAGTATATTTTACATATTTAAAGAAAGAAAAAAGAAGCTTAAAAAATGAACAAGGAACAAGAGACTGCAAAGAAAGTAGTTTGAAGGAGATTCTCCCCCACCCCAAAAGAAAAAATCTTCCAGAAATGGAAAGGTTAATAATTTACTATCTTAATTAACATGAAACACTCATTTATAGGTTAAACAATAAACATGACTGAGGAGAGTAAAACCCACATTACTCAGAAACACGAATAATCCTGGGCCTGACTTTCATCACCAAATGCCCTGTGCCTGCAGGAAACGGGTTCTTCCTGTCGCCGTGAGGCTATCAGACTGTCATGGAGCATCTTAAATTGATAGCTGGCTAATTTGAGTCTGTCATTACTATTTTTTGAAACCTTGTATAGCCGTTAATCTAAGTCGGCCAACCCCACCTCTGCCATATAAGCCATGCCTCACCCCATACCCATGCCAATCCTAATCTGCCCCTGCTGTGTCATAGCTGTGCCACAGGCCAAGGCTCACCAGCAATAGGTCCTTACAAGGGGTCCTCAAGGGTGTGTGATCTATCTTAGAAGCCCACCCCAAGGTGGTGCTTCTGGGGCTTCTGCTTCTGGTGCTAACTCCCCTGACTCAGGCTCCCTCCAAAAGCAGAATCTGTGACTTGGGACATGGTCTTGTGGGCAGATAGCTTATTTGAACTACTTTGGAAGTGATGTCAGGGATCAGGAATGAGGGCCCTGGAAGACAGAAACAAGGAAGGAGAAGATCCCATGTCAGAGTGCATTCTGGAGTGACCACTGCTGTGGGGGTGCTCTGAGGAACCCTAGAATGCACCTCAGAATTGTCTGCTGACGCAGGGCTAGTGTGTGTCCACTGGCACCCCTTCCTTATGGCTACCCTCCCACTCCCGCCCTCCTCCAGGTGTGCCCATGTGCCCACTAGGGTGAGTGAGCTCCAGAAGCACCCCAAGAGCAGCAGTAGAGAGCAAGGGGGGTGCAGTGCAACTGAAGCAGGAGGCGGCTGGTTGCTGCAGCCAGAACTACAGCAAAAAGATGAGTCCAGTGTAGATGAGGTTAGGGTATAAAGGCGGCTGACTCAGTTTTTATTTTTTGACAAAGGAGACTCAAGATCATGTATACAAAGTTGTTAGCTTGTCACAGATGATTGTCTGGGTTGGAGCAGATGGCTGCACTCGGCTGCCCTACTGACCTTCCTAATCCTTTACCGGGCTTGGTAGGTGGCCCGGTAAAGCCTCAGGCACCCCCCGAAGCCTACCCCGTGGGTGCAGTTCCTTGAAACTCATGGCAGGGAGCCGCAGGCAGCACACGTCACACTGTTTTGCAGGCACCCCTCTCCAGCCTCCTGGCTGGTCTCAGCATCTTGGCCTTGTGAAGCTGAGGAGCCTTTAACTGTCTCTGAGCCCTTGGCCTCCGACCAGAGGGAATCTCTCTGACCGCCAGGTCTTCCCAAGTTGGAGGAACTGGGATCTCAGTGCATCTAGGCGCCGAGAAGACCAGATTCTTGGGAAGGAAGCAGCTGCTGCTGGCGTCTGCAGAGAACAACTGCGTGAGCCTCCCGGGAGAAGCCAACAGAGGCGCACCCTGACATGCGGGAAATGCTGCGAACGTCTGGGCGGCCTCTGCCCAGGTGGAAGAGCGTGGGCAAAGGTGGGCGCAGCTGTGGCTCAGCAGAAGTCATTACTCCCTTTCTGGCAACAAAGTAGGTTAGATCAGTGGAAAAGATCTTCTGAGACTAGAAATTCTGAACAAACCATTATGAAATTTTTTATTGCATAGATGCAACGGTGGAACAAAGGAAATGCCCCCAAATGCTGAAAACCAAAATGGTAGCCTTCTGGGGAATTTGCCCAATCCTGGTGACCAAGAGCTTTGGGTTTAATGGACACAGGAGACAAGGCTTTGAGCCTTGATGAATTTCCTTGTTAGAACTAGGACTCCCGTGCAAAGTGTGCACCATGGAAGGGCCATATCCTCAGTGAATGAGTGAATTAGAACATTTATTTCTAATTATCAGCAAAACGAGATGAGAAAGAAACTGTCCCATTCAGCCAGGGCTCTTGCTAGGACAAAAAATAAAAAGAGCTGCTCTAAGATTTTAAGGAGAGCAGGTCCTCAGGGGGCTCTGGTTTAAATTGAGTGTCCCTTTGAGGTCCTGCAAACAGCAAGCTGGGGAATTAACATTAAGTGGGCCCAGTTGGTAGCTCCTTAAAGCTCCCAGCATGACCCCCAGCGTCTCCAGGAGGAAGCACCTTCAGCCAGCCTCCAGGAACCATCTCAGATGAAGCTCCTGGGCCAAAGTTACACAACAGAAGGAGGGAACAAGCCTCCAAGCAAGAGCCGGACAAACAGCCTAACTTCCAGGCAGTAGGATTGCCAGATAAAAGACATCCTGTGTAATTTAGAAAACAAATTAGAGAGATGAGAAACAAATGGGATGCTAACCAGTAACACTGGCTTTTGCAGAATACTGGAGTTAACAAGATGGGAGGCAACAGGGACTGATGTGAAATTCAGTCTGTCTTTGTGGGGTGCAGCCTGCTCAGGAATTTCCTTCCACAGCTTGCCCTGTGGACATTCCGTTCCAGCACCAGACCTGGAGGCTCCCCACAAGTGTCCCCATTTATAGCATCTGGCAGAGTTCTGCTTCTAAGGGAAGACCTGGGTAAAGCAGCCGCCTCTTGGAGGGAGCCCGGGACCCCGCTGGAGCTCCTCCCAGTGCTGGTTCCTTCTGGCCCTGAGAGCGCCTGCCCCGCGAGCTGGGCATTTCCTGACAGAGTGAGTGAAGAGATGGTCATCCGTCTCGGTTCACACTGCCTCTGTATTCAGAACATCACCACGGGGGTCAGAATCTCCGGTTTCTAACAAAGTTTGCTCTGGAATAGACGTGTAAGAGAACAGACGGCAGCGTGACTTAGAATGGGTCTCTTGCTTAAGGGAAGCATTCTTCATTCTGGGCCAAACTGTGAATTGTCTTTTGTTTGTCTCTCTGGAGGTTTTCCCACCAATTTCTTACCATGGAGCAATGGGCCTTTGCCATGGCGCCAGGTGGACCCTTTGAAGGGAGGAGAGAATGCATGGCTAGAGGACAGGAGAAGAGCAGGCCCCACGTCCCCAGCGGCTTGTTCCTCTGTCGCTTCCTTTATTCTGTCGATCTGTGGGGCAAATGGGAGTTCCTGGGCCAGGATCCTCCCCTGACTCTGAACTGCTTGGTGGTGTAGCTGGCCCACTGCTAGGCTCCCGCTCCCACACCCGTGGGCAATGAGCTGTTCTTGACTGAGTCACTCTATGAAGAGCTCTGCCCAGTGCTCTGGGTGAGGCAGGCAGTGGAGGGTCATGGACGTGCAGACTGCCGGCTGTAGCCATCCTAGTGCTCGACCTGCCGCAGGGAGAATAAAGCCTGGCGTAACCCCTTTTACCACAAGGACCTTCCGTTGTTATTTCTCAGTCTCACTGAATCCATAGTGAACTGTGGGAGGCAGAGGGGGGGCAGGCTGTGACCCTCAGGTAAGACACCATCACTTCCACATTTCAGCGCCTCTCCCCCCCTGCAGGCCCTTTGGAAGCCTGAAGCCAGGAGGCCCACAGCAGCTCTTTGCCCTTCCCACCTGGTCTGGGACAGCCCAGCTGGAGGTGGGGGACAGGGTGGCCGCTTGTTCCAGCTCCTCCAGCATCCGGCCCATGGGTGGGGAAGAGCTACCCAGCACCGTGCTCCCTGGGGCGGCCCCTGCTCCACCAGCCCAGAGGGCGCCTCTGGTCCGCGCTGACGCCAGGATCGCTCCCCGGCCTCCCGCACCCCTGGGACCTGCCAGGTAGCGTGCGGCCCACAGCAGCTCCAGGCCGGGGTCCCCGGGAAGCCAGGGCACTGCAGGCCCTGGGACCAGGAGGGGTCGGGGTGGGGAAGGGTGCAGCTGGGCCGGGGGTGGGGCAGGGTCGTCTCCAAGATCGCCTGTCAGCAGGCTCCAGTGTCCTTGGGACCCCATTCTGCACCGGCCCCTTCCTCGGACCCTGCATTTCCTTCTCTGCCCCCGCAAGGGAGGAGCGGGCCACATTTCTGCTGCCTGCCAAGCCCCAAGCGTCCCCACTGCCTGCCACCTTGGGAGCAGAATCCGCAGGCTCCAGTGGAAGGGGGCCCTGGGAGTCTGGAGTCCTGGGGGGCTGCTGTCAGGAGGAGTCCCTGCCAAGTTACCCCCTCCAGGCCTGCCAAGCAGCTCCCAGTCCAGAGGGGCTCCAGCTCTGGGGTTCATGCTGGGTCCTGGCCCGTCTTTGGAGAATAAAGGCTGGGGCCCTGCGTACCGGCCTGTGTCTCTCTGTCCCCCCAACTGTTCTCCAGTAAGAACTGTGTCTATCCTCCCCACCAGCCCGGCAGGCCCATCTGTACAGCCCTTTGTCCTCACCCACCCTAGCACAGGCGTGCAGGGAGCTGTCCCCACCTCCCCCAGCCTCCCCCACTGGCCTCTACCCACCCCATCCCACCCTGGGCCCTAGGCCAGTCCCTGACCCTGTGCCACCTTCCAAGTAGTACCCTTGTCCTGCACCACGTTCTAAGGAGAGCACCTTCTGTCTGGGGCCCAGAAGGTAGTTTGGTCTCTTCAAAGATAACCCAGGAAATGCAGAGTCTTGGTAATTTCAAATCTGCTCTGGTGTCCAGGAGCCGGGTTGGCCTTGCTCAAGGTCAGGCTTGTCCCACCGGT